ACGATGTAGGGGATTGGGCTCTTTTCCCTCCCCGTCCCTCCGGATTACAGCAACCGAACTACAAGCATTGCTTCCTCTGATGTAGGGGACTGGGCTCTTTTCCCTCCTCCCTGGTCCCTCCGGATGTTGCTTTTTCTCCAGTTTCGATGAAAAAATGGACTATTTTCAGTTTCTGGTACAAATTTCACGTAGGATTCTACGAGAAAATTAGAAATCAAGGCTCCAGACTGCTCAAATTTGTTATTATTTTGTGAGCAAAATCGAAGCGTTAAATCAGTACTACGTAGTACGTACTTATGGTTCAGTCTTTCATTTATTGTTGTGCTCGGCTTGAGGTGAGCCACATCAGCATCGAATCAAAGACTAATGATCATTACCTTTATATCCAGCAATGATTAGAAATCAATATATTATTCTTCACGCTACTAATTGTATTGCCGCTGATACTTTGCTGGAAGCTTTTTGCTCCTCTTCAGCAGCGAGCTCAGTTCTTATTAGTAGCAAGCAACAAGCAAACAACAGCAACGACTGCTGCTGCAACACGAAAGAGTGAATTGCTTACATCATAAGACACATCGATTGTTGCGACCGCATTGTCTGCACTGTTGTTAAAAGCTTGAGCTCGTTTCGAGCAGCCTCTAGCTGTTGTTCAAGGGAAGCACTCTTGGCTTTCTCCCATTCAAGCTCTTTCCTCTTAAACTCATCCTTCCCCTCATGAATACCGATTGCTAGCTTCATTTCCTGTAACTCGCTGGTGAGCGCCGCAATCTTTTCATGAAGATCCGAAATGGTCTTCTTTGCTTCATTGAGTTCCTTCTTAGTATCCAGTTCGATTCGTCGTTGTTTCTTGCTGCTATCGGCGCCGTATTCAGGGGGGGAGGAACAAGCACCACCAGCAGCAGCTTCCTCATCTGCTTTTTTCCTGTTTGCTGCTGACTTTTTGAGCTCCTCAAGGAGCGCTACTTTCAACTCAGTCCCCGGAGACGATTTTTGTTGCTTGACAACAACGGCGACTGGTGGCGGAGGAGCTACAGCCCAAGGCACGACTGCCTTCTTTGTGCTCTTCTTGTTGAACCCAGCATGAAGTGTATTTTGTACTCTTTGCTGAGTGGTTGAGGTCGCATGGTTGTATACTTGAGACGACTTGGCACTTTTATGTCTAAGATGATTCATCTTAAGCTTTTCAGGGACATTCACATCAGATGCTAACACAGTACAGCACCGATGTCGATTATCATGAGGAGTAAACTTGTCAGCATCCTTGTATCCAGCTTCTTTTGCGACTTCCTTCACCCACTTCCTTACAGTATCTTGTCCAACGGGCATGGCGGCCTTGAAGTAATAAGGATTGTCCTTGGATCTATTTTCCCTCACATAGCAAAGGAACCTTTGCTGATCTGGATGGCATCGAGTCCTGTAAAAGTTGATGAGCTTTACAATGCAATAAGGATTGGTCTCTTCCTCCACTACCATTGGGAACATCTCATTCACAGTCGGATTGCTCAATCCAAGCTGATTCCCCTTGTCAAAGCCTCCTCCGGGTGCAATGATTACGTATCTACAGTTCTCCATCTTGCCGTGGTTGAAGCTTCCAAGCTTGAGGAATCTCCATTCAAGGAAGACAATCTCCTCCCTTCCACGCAATCCAAACTGTCTTCCAAGCTCCATCGTGATGATTTTCAGCAAGTCTTGCATGTCGTCATAAGGCTTGTACACTCCTCTCTCAAGCAAGCTTGCAAACTTGGCATCTCCATACTCATCGAAGGCAGCCTTGGTCCTCTTGGTCCCTAGTGTCGGATCAACAGCCCTCTTCTTGTTGAAATCAAGCTTTACAGCGCTAAGGAATGACCCCTTCCCTTTGAAGTCGGCTTCATTGAACTGGATCCCCTTCTCGTGGAAGGCTGAGAACAGCACGCGAACATACACTGAATGAGTGTTTGTATCCAGAGGATCCCCGGTCTTTGCATTCTTGATATTAAGAGTCCAAATCATGAGGGCTTGATTCATCAAGGTCTTCTTGAKGGCGTCCTTTTTACCAGCAACGTTCCTGTAGAATAAATAGTCTTCAGTTAAGCCATCATTCATAGGAACCTTCTTGGTGAACATCTCAAACATCAGCTTATCTCCAGGATCATTCTTTGTTGGATCTGTAGCCGCAAGGATCGTTTGAACAAAGCGGTTGACGCATCCTTTCCTCTTTGCTGCATACCCCTTGGTGTTTGATTCAGCTGTCGCATACTCATCACTCCCCAGAGTGTTGAAGGCATTAGGATTATTAATGAGCTTCTTTGCATATTCAAGCTTTGCTTGTTCGGTGCATTGTTCGGCGACTGTCACAGGAGCTACGGCTTGCGTTGGTGCCAGTTGCGGTGCTGCTGCTGCTGCTGCTTTCTTTTTTTCTGGTGCCTTCTTCTTGTCGTTGTTATTTGCTGAAACGCAGGTTACATTTTTGGTACACCAGTAACATCACTGAGATCGAGAGCTTGCTCGAGATCGAAGTGAGGTTACTGCAAGTACTGTCTTCAGCAACAGCACCACCAACAAGAAGCTTGAGAGCTTAAGCTCTCAAGCTTCTTGTTGGTGGTGCTGTTGCTGAAGACAGTACTTGCAGCGCGGGACCGATGCGATGCCACAGTTATTTACGTAACCATTGAGTAGCATCGAAATTACATGTAACCATGCAGCGGGAGGTTACTGCTTTACGGAGGAGGCGGAGGAGGACGCTTCTTTCTGATACGTAGGAGGCGGAGGAGGACGCTTGCTGATACGGAGGATCCGCTGATACGAGCCGCTGATACGAGCCACTGATACGGAGGATGCTGATACGGAGGACGCTGACGCCGATACGGAGGACACCGATACGGAGGATGCTCACTGATACGGAGGACGCTGATACTACGGAGGAGCCATAGAGACGATCCGAGTTGCTGATACGAGTTGCTGATACGGAGGAGCCACTGATACGATATGGATGCTGGTGTTTTGCTTGTTTCCCCCTGCAAATCAATATTTCTACGGTGTTTTCTACATAAGTTTGTACTGGAATAGCAATGAAGATCAGTTTTTCCAGCTGAAAACTGCTCACATTTTTTTAGTACTACTGTGTACATACGTTCTTATTTGTTTTTCGTACTACTGTACCAGTTGAGGTGCATGCGCCTGGTTACAAGCGCACATCAGCGCACTGTGCGCTTTTTTTGCTTTTTTTTGTAACCAGACCCACTTTTTTTTGTAACCACACTACTAGTRTTATCGTGTAAAAAATATGGGCTTCTCTATAGGGAAAGGTTTGGTTACAATTCTGGTTACAAAAACTCCATTCGCGCGCATGTAACCAGCTTGAGGTGCGTGTACTTAGGCAAAAAATAACTAGTCTTTGTTAGTGTTAGTTTTTTGTAAGGCGCAGTAACCAAGCGCGCGTGGTTACATGTAATTTCGATGCTACTCGACGGTTACCATACATAGTACCAAGAGGCCCAGAACGTCCCGTGGTACCAGTCCAGCAAGAGGAAAGACAAGGCTACAATAACTCAGGCTAAGAGCAGTTAGGAACAACTGCGCTTAGACCGTACCACACCCCACCCTGCGCAACAGGAAGAAGGAACGACAAGGCTCCAACAACTCAGGCTAAGAGCTTAACGATTATATCATACTAAGTCATTGATCAGGGAACCGCCACCATGGTTTGCGACAATGATAAAAAATAGTTGTAACAACGGCACTTTCAATCGTGACAATTATAGAAAATCTTCCATTGGCACTTATCCGTCAGAAGCAAGTTCTTCCGCAGGCGGGACCTATAGTACGGATATAAACACTGAGGTCAAGAACTTTGGATCGAATGCATTGGACACTGGCAACAGTAGCCGAAGAAACCAAGACAACCACATGGGCGGAAATGGCTATCAAAATCACAACCATCCGCAACAACCATACAATCCACACCACCATAAAGAGGGTCCCAGCACCAACCTCCATCGAAGGAATAGTGGAAGCAGTGGGGGGAGCGCTAAAAGCAATAACAAGAAGTATGTCAACAAACACCAACAGAACAACGCAAAATTTGGCAACACCCATCATCCAATATCCAAACCAAAGAAGAAGGTTCCAACAAAAAAAAAGAAACCTCTGCGTGTGTTGGGCATAGCGTTGATCGTGGATCAGAAGGGTACCGGTGCTCGAATGCTAGCTCGTTATCCAACGTCACCGTCCTCGATGAAAAAGGTAGACGATGAAGTCGACGACAACGAAGACGGCGGCGAGGCTATCAATGGTAGAACTGGTTTATACGATCGCAACGAAGACGAGGATGCAGAAGACGATGACGGTGACGACGAGAGCGATGGATACGATCGCAAGCGCGTATCCAAACACGACGACGATCTCTTTTTTACCCTAACGGCACGTCAAATGGCGAAATTGTTCCGAACGAAACGGTCCCTTTGCAATCAACCAATGACGCTCCGTGTGAACAGAACTGTTTTTTGTTGTCACGCAGTTCTTTTGGAGGATCCTTGTAGCAGAAGCAGTAACAACGACATCAGCAATGGTACTGCAAAGGACGAGATCGGATCGCCGGACAGCCCCTTAGCGAAACCCAAAACGCGAAACCTGACACAACAGCCTCCGAAGATCCCACTTGCACCTTCAATAAGGGTGGATCGTGATCGTGACAACAATTCGATGTCGTTGTCTATGATGGCCTCGGAAGCTGATGATCCAGAAAACGAGGATAACAAGTTGCGACTATTTAGCGTGGTGGTAGCAATTTCGGCGTCCAAACAACAGGCCGCCTTGCCCTTTTCTAGCTTTTGGGAAACAGGAAGTGGAGAAGATCTAGTGGATCTTGAGCGGTACATACGACAGGGCGGAATGCAAATGAAGACATCGGACAATTCTGTGAAGAAAAAGCCACCAAAAAGCAGGGCAGAAAAAACTCAAACCGACTCCAACGATGACAACGATAAGCGCTGGAAACTCAGAAAGAGGAGAGAACAGACTGCAGGTCGCGTTTCCTCCACCTTTTTGGCAATCCGGAGGGTTCATATTTCTCTAGCACGATTTTGCCGGGCATTGGAGCGGGAGGAAAACCGATGCGCATACGTAACCCTTCAATCTTGTGCCTTGTTCAAAATAAGGAACGGGCGGCAGAAACAATGGGAGGCTATGCAAATCAACCGCAGTTCAGCCTCGGCTTCTGTTTCCAACTGTGCAACGATTACCACCAGTAGCTCTGGGAGTAGGGGAGATCGCAGTCCGTATCCAGATCGTCACAATCCTCGGCATTCGCGGACAAATTCGTTCATGAGTTCTTACAGTTTGCCAAGCGACGCTGCCCTGAAAAAAGCATTCGACAACAACGATGTCAGTGGAGAAGTTTTGGATACAATCGAAAAGGATCAAGAGAAGGAGCAAGAAATACTCGAATTAATGCTGGCATGCAATCCACAAGACAACCACCAACAACAGCAAGAGAAATGTTACTATTTGAAAAAGGGCGATTCATCCTTTCAACAGAGGCAGTATGGAAATCTTATACGAGATCTAGTTGCTGTCTTTCATTCGTTGTCTCGCAACGATCAGGAATATCCTCCAACACCTAGCTCCTTGTTGTGCGAACGAGATACAGTGGTTTATGTCAACAATCACTTTGCAATTCCCATCGATGCAGCTGGTTTGAATGGCAATTCGTATTCTCCCTCGTTTTCGCCAAGCATGCCATCTCCTTCTGTATATTCGCAGCACAAATATGGCGCAGCTCAATCTGCGGAAGGAGGACCAGTTGTCCTACCTTACTACACTCTGCTTTTCCCCCACGCTTCTCCATCCGAAATGTTGCAGACTTTCCATTCTTCCGGATCAGCGCCTCCCCAACAATTGAAACATTTGTTACTTTCGGTCTGTCCTCAAAAATCACTGACGCAAATCTCGATCGATGCGAACCTTCCCATGCACACCACGATGGCAATTGCTTCTTTCTTGGTGGCCCATGGTGCTTGCATCACCTCTCCGGTTGTCAACTCTAGATCGCGATTGACATGTCTCGGAAGTAATAGCATTCAACGAATTCGAGAGCTCACGCTGGATTTTTCCCAGGCTTTTCCAGGCGTCAATCTGTTTCGTGTTGTGAGTTTCCTCACGACATCCTCCAGACATCTAGGAGATACGATGGCGGTGCTAGCCGATACTGACAATAATGAAGGTGCCTGGTTACGTGAGGCTCTTCTGGCATCTCCGAAATATCGGTTTTACAATCACAATTGTCTGCATGGGGGTGGCGATGGGGACAACAGTGGCGCCAACGACGCTGCAGCGGCCGATATCATCAAGGACACCATCCGGAACGGCACACACCAGGCCTTGTTCAGTGACGAGAAAGAAACCTATTCACCATCGATTCATACATCTTTCCCTTCGTCGACGTGGAGGGGCACTAAGCCATCAGGATTAGCCCAAGACACGCATCATCCCCCGCCACCCATGTCGGTCCACGAATGGCTGAAAGATTTGGAAGATTTCCTCTATGCAGTATCTGTTTGGCTTCTTTCCCGTGAATTATTGGTACAGTTACAAGAATACATGGTTGCAGTTGACATTGAATCACCATCAAAATCCTCGCGCTTGGAACCTGTAGATCTTGATGAGTCTAACTCCTCGTTGCTTTCCCCACCTCCCATGGTAGAGGATTCGTCCAGTGGTACGACAGGCACTCCTAGTCTTATTCCTTCCGTTGCTTCTACGACTGGCACTGCTACTAATACTTCCGCTGCCACCATTGGAAATAAGAGCAGAAATGATTTGGACGAAAAGTTATTCAAAGAGCTCATGGCTATGGAATACTTGAATGGAGATGTTTCTATGATAGCTTTGTCGTGGCAATTAGCTATTGATCCAAGGAAATTGCGCCACTGGGGCTTACGACACAAACGTGTTCGTGTGATATCGAGAGTTCCTAGTCGGGAGACGATTGGGAACCCAATGTGACTATGGGATTAGCCTCAGGATCACCTTCCAAGGGGTCATAGGTTCTAAATGTCTCCAGCATTTTGCCTTCAACAGTCTGTTATACCAACCTATTGTGATTTTAGAATGGATACATGCATGTTCTGTAGTGACATTTGAAGAGTGCACCCCCATTCACTTTTGTGAACAATTCACATTATTCTCAGTTCCCATGGACCTTCGCAATCCTAGCAGCTCCAGACACAACATGTTCTCGTGCCTTGTGATATGCTATGCTGAATGCCCACTGTTGCTGGAAGTCTGGCTGGGACATTTCCTTTGTCACTGTCATCAAAAGAAAAAGGGACAAGTCCACGGTTAAATTGTTATTGGGGACGCAGGTTCATCAGTTGACAATTCATATTGCGTGTTCAAGAAACCCAGAAGGGTTGAGTCGATGCAGACAAGAGAATCAACAGCAGTACTCATTCTACCGGTACCAAAAAAAATATGTGTTGGGCTTCGGGCAGAAATATATAAAACATAGTAACCCTATCTGAAACATGCTCCGAAGAATCAATTACGAATGGTTCTTTTCCAACAAACCCAATTTGAAATCTATGACAAGTTGGGAAAGAGTATAAATATCTAGATCTAAAATGAACTTCTTTACATCCCATCCATTTTGGACCGTACAATCTTTTGCTCCAGGGAATCAATCGTAGTCAAGAGACCATTTGTTTCGTTTGTTCCACTTTATTAGCGGGTCTCTTCTTTATCTCCCCATACCAATGCACCACACAATGTCACATCGTATTTTGGGAAAAGACTACCGAAATCAAAATCCGTTACTACTCATACCGTCACGCAAGCGTATGCTGTGACAACGACGATAGACCGACGCTGACCACTATCAAGTGTTTATCGCACCCAAATGGCTGCCTGACTGGTCTTGACTCTGTAATCATAGTCGGAAGAGTATCCCTGACCTTGATCAGCAGAGATAGCGGCGTAATCACTGAGCTCAACAGTCTTCGTGTAGGCTGCGTAAGCAGTCTTGAGGGCACCGGCATCCTTGGAGCGGATGGCAGCAAAGATGGCGTTTGTTCCCTGGATGGCGGCGGCCTTCTTGTCCTTGTTCTTAGTTCCGGGGAAGGCACCAGAGTTGTACAAGATGAAAGCGTTCTTTTCCGCAGCAACGGCACCGAAGTCACCTTTTGAGACGGCGTCCTTGAGGGCAGCGATTCGGCTTCCGTACTGGAACTTCGCTCGCTGGATGGTGGCCGCGCTGACGGCTCCGTCGGCAAGTGCCATACCGGGCATGGCGGCAGCACCGGCAGCGGCAGCAATTCCGGCCATGGCGGCTCTGCGGTCCATATTGAGGGCAGTGGAGGCGCGCTGAAAAAATGTTGTTTCGAAAATGGAACACGTGAGTATCGGCGGACGAAAGTTTAAGATAATTGCATCGCAACGATCAGAATTCTCATCCATCAAAGGAAGGGACGAATCCGGCCGCGCAACTCTATTGACAACTGAGTGCACAATGATTTCTGTCCAGACAGAATCGCCGTCCAAACATACCTCGCTGGTGGCAGAAGGGGCAAAGGCAGAAGCCGAAGCGATAAGGGCGGCGGAGACAACAGCAACGAATTTCATCTTGACTTATATTTGATTTATTTGACTTGTGTGAAATATAAGTTAGTTCCGAGAGAGAAAGAGGGAAACGCCTTGTCAAAAGAGCAAGGTAGTTTATTGAGGAAGAAACTGTGATGCACGGTTATCGTTGTTCTTGACATGTAAAAAAAAGGAGGTAGAGAGTCTACGGTAAATTTGAACGTATTTTTATTTTAGGTTATCATTGACACATATTAAAGAAAGATTTCCCGAAGCACTCCGGCATCACCTATGATACGCTTCAACTTCACAAGACGGACTGACAGCAAGACCGTCACACAAAGATCGCGAGCAAAGAAATTCAACTAACACGTACACGCGTCTTGATGTCCTTCAAGGTCCTTGTAACCGTGGAAAAGCAACATGGTACGGTAGTACTTACCAAGTACAAGCACTACTCGTAGTTGCCGATGAAAGGCAAAGTCACCTTTCTTCCGCGCTCTTCTCGGGTTATTCCGTGTCGTTTTGGAAGGGATCTATTTCATCATTCTGTTCGAATATTTCGACTGTTGGGCTCACAACTCGTAATTACATTCAACAACATATCAAAATGAAGTACGCTGCTGTTTTCGCTCTCCTTTTGGTTTCGGCCACTGCCTTCAACGCCCCTCAGTTCGCCACCCGTGCTGTTGGAAAGGCCCCTGCCACCAAGGCTGTCAAGAAGGCCTCTGTACGTAGGAAGAGGAAGGATGCACGACGCATATTCATCCTGAATCGTGACGGCCAGTGGGTGGAACAATTCTGGAACATTTGACGAATGAGATTCGAGGACTTTTCTTTATCAAATATACAAACGCGTATGCTAAACTCTTCTTTTTCACAATCTCTTTCGTTGTTGTGCAACCTGTCGACTCCGTCTTCCAACAGACCAAGGCTCCTCCTGAAAGTAAGGGGTACCCTTCTTTCGCAGAGAAGGCACAAAACTTCAAGCTCGGAGGGGGAAAGATTTCTGGAGGAGGTGCCGGACGTACCATCACACCTGTCTTCGTCCACCCTACAGTCAACACTGATCCTATCCCTGACTTCGACTACAAGGAAGCCGCTAAGGCCCGTGTAACCCCCCAGAGCCGAACTGACTACGTTTTCGACGATGGTCTTACCGAGCTTGAGCGCAAGCAAAAGAGCACCATCCCTGCTTTCCTGACTGGATCTGCCCGATCCAGAGTCGAGGCCGAGGCCCCTCGTGATGATATCGAAGAACAAGAGTACCCTTTCGGGCTTTCTGGAGACCGATTCCAACTGTTGTTCATCTCCGTCTTCTCTCTCTTCGCACTTGTCGGAAGTCTTTCCGGATCTATTAGCTTCGATTAAATAATCACAAGCGTAATGAAATGAGTCGACCGATTGGAATTGCGGCGATTTTTGCAAACAATAAGAACACGTCACACACAAATCCTTCCCATTGTTTGGTTTGATTCGGTCTTGTTCGATTTCTTGTGCACTCTTCATCTTGTAAGATGTGCCTCGTTATTGATGCGCTACGATATAAATCCGTTTCTCCCTACTTTTTAAGTTGAATACTTTGATATAATTAATTAGTTTGGTAGAGGAACGATGGGTTATCCGAGCTCTTTGTAGCATTTGAGTAGATACGGGCCTGAATTGATGGCAAGAGTCGAATCTGGAGATGATTTAAGGCCCATTGGTAATCGTAAGCATCTGTAGTTACMATGGGTCGTGGTGAGTGTGCAAATCTTTTGGCTTTCCTCATCCAGTTCAAAGCAGTAAAACATCATAGACAGATCAAGAATCTTAGTGAAGTGTTCATACTTCTGGTGTCTGTTCATGATGTCTTGGATTCTGGGGAGGTTAAACTGAGGACGCTTGATCCTTTTGTTTAGCTCTCTGAGATCGACAAGCCATCTGACTCGTCCATCCTTTTTGGGAATGATAAAGGCTGGGAAGCCCCATTCTGAATTGCCTGTAGGAGCGATCACTCCTTCATGTACTAGATGCTGGCACTCCTTTTTGAACACCTTCTGGTGTCTGTAGGGAACTGGATATGGTCTTATGTAAACTGGTTTGGCATCGTCTAGGAGATCAATGTGGATTCTTTTGTGAGGGTATCTACCAAGTCTGCCATCAAACAACTCCGTGTGTTTGGCTAGCATCTCCTGGAATGCTAGTCTTTCTGATTTGGTCATATGCTCCTGATGGTTTGCAACCTCTCCTGGAGTCACTAAGTTTGCCATCAAACAACTCCTGGTGTTTGGCTAACATCTCCATGAAAAAAAAAATCTTAATATTATGTTTTACCTCGTGAACTAGAAGAGGCACTATATGGCCACAACCATAGCTTCCGTTAGAAAGAATGCTCCTAGCTGCTCCGAGGGGCAGCACTTCCCTCCGAGGAGTGTTAATGGAAGTACGACCAGGGGTTTGTTTCACTGGAATTAAAAGTATTGACTGAGCTTGGTTTGAAGTAAACTGGAAGAATGGACAGGAGGAGCMAAAGAAGTCTCTGGCACGGCAGGTTGTTTGTGTCRCTTCTTTTTGGAGTATGCGTCAAAGACCAGTGAATCATGTGTAACGCTCTCCGGTGGTTGCTTACTATGTGGCAATGATGTAAAGTACTGGGTAATTGGTCGGGTGTTGGAGACAGAGGCAAGTGTTGCTTTGGTGACACTTGCCAGAATCATTTTCTCATAGACTCGAAGGTAATATGTGAGCATAGAAGTAGATGCAGTTGATAAAAAGGCCCCCACGTCTTCTGGGAAGAGGTGGGCATGGGATGGACATGTCTGTGATTTCAGTTCAAACAGAGTGCAGACTTTCGTTACCACCCGCCGGCGATGCTTGGCTTGCTTCTAGGAGAAGATCTTTGTTTCGCTGTTCCCATAATGACATGTAGGAGGTAAGAAAGAATTCCACAAGATAACCCCCCAACACGAGCGGGGAATAAGAGCCAGAATGAAGATCAAGATCAGTAAACCACTGAAGCGAAATGTGACCGGCAAACACGTGGTGCCACCCAATCTCGCTCTGGAAATGAATAACTGGATGGAGTGATGWAGGATATTTTTCTGGAGAAACTTTGCCAGTGTCTAGCCATTCGGTAAGGCAAGTAGCAAGAGTGTCAATGGCAATTGGCCGGAAGCCAAGTGAGGACATCTGTTGTCGTAAAGATGTAATGGTCTGCCTTCTCCATCTGAGTCGTGATGGATGAGAACATCGAAAGAGATGCTCGCAATCTTCAGGCATCAGGCAGAGACAGCAATTATCATGGGTTTGGTATTTCCATCTTTTGAGAACAGTGGCAGTGGGCAGAATATTGTTGCAACATTTAGTGACCAAGACATTTCTGGAGATGCGGTTTATAGCAATGCTCAGGGACTTCCATGCAAGATTGGCAAGAACCTGTGGGGTCCACTGGTTTCTCTCTGTCAAGTATGCGTGATATTGGGGGATCAGACATGAATCTGTGAGAGCTCTCTTGTATTGGCTGGTGACAGAGCGTGATTGGATCTGAAGCACAGCAGGACATGAMGGCAAAACTGGGGTGATGAAATTTGGTTGATCCATCTGAGCCTGAAAATCCCCAGCATAACTATCAGCCTCTATATTCAGTTGGGCTGGCAGAGGAAGTTGWTCAAAAGCAATGTTGTCATCTTGGTGACCTTTCACCCAAGAGAAGGAGCAAGTAATGTGTGRAGACTGAACGGTTTGAAAGATCTGTTCAATCAAGTCAAATTCTGGTGCTAGAGTAGCATTGGCGTAGACTTCTTTGTATTCACTTCTGGATTGGAGTCTAGTTATGAGCACCCTGCTGTCACTGAAAAAAGTAACTTGCGTTGGACGGGATGGTGTGGTGTCAGTAGGGGAAAATGAACTGGAGATGCTTGTAGCAGAGGAGAGTGAGGTTGAAGGATGTTGAGATTGGTCCTGGAGGTGCATGTCATTCAGGTTACTGATAAGAGTAGGGAGAGTTTCCAATTCATTGTCTGATTGAGAATCAAAATGGAGATTTCGAACGTGGGGACTGGGGTCAGTACTGTTTGCAGTAGAAGTTGCTGTAGAAAATTTAGGGGTTTTATTCCCATTCATTTCGAATTGGAAATGAAATGGACTGTTTCTCACTTTTTCCCGCTTGGTACTGTTTGCTGTAGAAATCTCTGTAGGATGAGATCGTGATTTCATTCCATATTTGGAATGAAAGCAAGGGTTCATTTCATGATACCATTGGTGAAAATGCGAGACAAGGATAGTGACGAAAAGGGTAGCTGATAACAATCCAGTGGCTTCCGCACGAAGCGAGCTCTCCCTGCCAAAGCATGGGCCATGAGCATGAGCAATTCTCTCCCCAGTT